CTGCCCTCGTGCCGGTCACTGGCTCTAACCACCACCCTACAATCGGAGCAATCGGGAAATTTCCACCTTGGCTATTGCGGGGTTGCTAGAATAATACGATTGCGTGGTATTGTGTATTGTAATCTGCAGCTTTAGCACCGGTTTTACAAAGCCTTCGTAAGACTGTAGCTAATGCAAGCAAAGCACCCCCATATTGACTTTGTGTCAAGTACGTTCCTTCTATTGTTAAGAAGTGTGAACATGTATATGGCATTAAAATCTCTTGAGGGGACATAAACTTGTACTTTCAGTCTACATTCTAACAAGATTATGGATTGTGTATGCATTTCCATCTCCGCTCCAATAGTTTTTCGAAAAATAGGAGTGAGGATCATGAGCATTCTCAACCGCAGAATGTTACGCATGGGTAGAGGTAACAAGGGTTTGCGACGTCAAGTTTGATGATTTTCAAAAAGCCCAGTATTCCTACAGTGCGATGGCGTATTCAGGACTTTCGTTTAAGGGGGGACAGCAATTTTTTTGGGTGAAGCTTTGGCGTGAGCCATTATTTTGAGATGTCTCAGAAGTTTTTGAGCGCAACTAATCCCGATATTCAGGGAAAAGGGGCATGGCAGTAGCCACGTCTCCGAAATTTCTTCAGAAGGCTGATTTAGATTTTATAAATTTTTGAAAATATTGTTGTTATGTCATCCTCGTAACTGCTACAATATGATGTTTCAGTCAGAATTTTTGAGAACATTTTCAAGCATCAGGGTGAATGTTTGAAGAGCGGGTGATGATTTTCAAGAACTTGATAAGAGTGGAATTCATCCCATAATCACCATGAAGCGCAATGATCACAGTTCAAGCACGCTAAGATTGTCATTCTAGCCAAATGTTTTTCTAATTTCACGGAAGTTCGGCTAAAATTTCTAGTAACGTATACCTCAAGTGCGACGCCATCACTGTATTTTCTCCCATCCGGTGCATAAACGATCTTCTTTCGGGTGCTCATGAACAGTGGCCTGTACGAAGGCGTCCGTTTCAGCGGTGGTCTCGTAACTGAAAACAAACATTTGATCGTTTTGCTTTGGTTATCACTGCTCAGGACGGTACTCAATCCGGCATACATTGATGGAACAGGTTACAACGAATCATTCGTATGTAATTGCCTCACCTTTACCCATCATTACCAGCGGGCATAATACGCGTTAATATATCATTATTTTTGATGTGATGTCCAGAAATTATTTACATTATACTAAGGGATCAACTGGAGATTAACATGCTCTTACCTCCATCGGTATTTTTGCAATGTGGCGGTTCATCTCTACGAGGAGCAGCGTAGTAGTCAATGGGTGAATCGCAGGGCACGTTTACCATACCAATCATTTTCTGAAGAAAAAAACGAGATCAAAAGCATAAAAGCATAAAATATAGAGCCAACAGACAAATGCGCCGGATCAGTCTCACACTGGCGTAGACATTAAAATACATATATTTTTTCTCAACTAAAGTGTCC